GTAGAATCAAGCTATTTTAGCACTTTTCATCCAACGCATTTTTACTACATTGGTGGCAAAGGTATCGTTATTTAATCATTATTGTATAGATGTTAGAGTAGACTAATAAATATAACGGCTTTTTTATTTACAACATTATATTTCTTAAGCGTGCACTTTCAACCTTAAATTTTCGAGTTTCTGATAAAATATTAGTACAATTATAGTTATTCTAACCAAGCTGTCTTCTTACGTGAAGTAACAATGTCTTTTTATGCAATCGGAAATTTCATAAAAATTGTCATTACAGTAACTATTTAAATAGTTCCTTTAATCAAAACATAATTGGAAAATGTTATGTGTCCTGTATGTTTGATTGTAAAGTAATATTCTGCATCGCGAAATAAAATCACATGGATAAAGTCCTGGCATGTCTAAATTTTATGGTAAAATCCAATAACTCAAAAACCAGGTGATGCTGTCTATTATACTTGTTATGACAGTTTATTGGAAATTGTTGTTGTAGATACTAGTCGTGCTTGATCTAATTGAAAAATCGTGTCTTCTATGTGTGCTGTCGTAATACTAATATTCCCGATTTGGAAGATCTCCACACAAATAGTGATGTCATGATATTTGAGAAGCTCGGTCATTCCTGGTGCACATAACTTCTGCCGCACATAAGGTAATTATGAATATGTCGCGCTTATTGATTTTAGTATACTATATTGATTGTTCATTTACTTATCCATTGTACATAGCATCAGTTTTATACGCTCGCCGTATTTACTTGAATCGATCCAACAATTTCATCATCATAATAAGTCGATAGTATTCGCGATTGCATAAACGTACGAGAGACGAAATATAACACCATGAATGCATATACGTGCATAACGGTTTGCTTAGAACCGATAACAAAAAGCGATCGATGGGTAGAGTGATGAATTATTTGATTCTTATGAGGTAAACACTCTAATTGATCAGTTATTATGCACGTGGACCGCGTGTTTTAATAGACGTTGTTATAACGATTGTGTTTATACTCAAAATAGATATCGGGAATTAACTTCGGATAATGTCCGGATTATTAAAATCACTTCAAGAATACGTTTGATAAAGATTTAGGTATGAGGTATTCTGAGTAGACTGCGACCTGCAATGCCTGATTCAGCTGATCCTAACAAGCGTCCAGCAGGATTTTTGTTTATGGGTTCATGGCGTCTATTGCAATAGACGAGGAGAAGCAGCTCCTTCAACAATATCGAAAATTTCATGGATACATAACATCTACTGCGATGACTATATAAGACAGCCGGAATACGATCTTCTACACGAATGGAAAGCCTTATTACAATTCGAGAGGAGAGTTCAATTAATTATGTTTGGTGATCAGGGGAACTTTGAAAAAGTATCGGAAAACTGTAAATTAGTTTGTCAATACAAGGAAAACCTCGTTATAAGAAACGCTCGATAAAAGAGATTGAGCACATGGAGTGTTAAAAAAGATTCCCGATAATCAAATACAATAAATCAGTCACGATATAAGAAATTACCCGATATAAAAGCTGCATTCGACAAAAAAAAGCCTGCATTCCTGGTAGAATGAATCCTACAATGGACATTGCAATCTTGTAATGCAGAAAACAAACTGTTCTGGAGGACAGTGCAATAGCTTTGCTGAACAATTATGAAAGTCTATAATTAATGGCGTCTCTGTCATAGGACGTTCATAAATCATGAGAATTTGGTGGTCCGATCCACGGCTTTTCTTACAACGGGGATTTTACCAATAACACTGTCGATCCATTTATTGTTAACTGTTCAATGACGCGATGAGATGAGACACGCGTATTTGTTTACTTGGGATGATGCATCTTTAGTAAATATTGTCAGTTGTATGCATTATACCGTATGAGTGATTATATTTTTCCGATTGTGTGGTGCCCAGGATTGTCTTGGGATGGTGCATCTTTAGTAAATATTGACAGTTGTGTGCATTATATACCGTATGAGTGATTATATTTTTCCGATTGTGTGGCGCCCAGGATTGTCTGGGCGGGCCACGCCCTAATTCAATAACTGTAAGCCATCTTTTTCTTTAGAAATATTCCCTAATACCTCCCAATATGAGTGGGTATGTTCAATTAACTTCCGTATTTGCTAGATACTCTTCAATTTCGTATAAACCCAACCTGGGCGTAACAAGACAGTGTTCTATATTATCGAATAAGTATATTAATGTAAAATGACAAGACATTGCAATATAAACAAGAGATATGACTAATGATACGTACGTATAACGCGGCCAAATATAAATATTTATTATTTGCAATACAAACAAAATTTCTGAATCACATCAGTGTCACATGATCTGCTCGAGTATTGTATACATTAACTCGATCCGTAATATGTGAAAATTCGCTCGCCATCTTTTACAAATTGCTTTCAGATGATCGGTAGTCTGGTAGAGATCATTATTCAACATCCACTGACTCCAATATTAGTGGTTAAGTATTAAAGAAACTGGCGATTTGCAGAAAAACTATTACATATTGTATTGGTTGTGAGAAGCCGCTTGTAGAAATCCACTTCAGATATTACTTCAATGCTTGCAGTACAATGATGCTAGTATTTTTCAGGATCCAAGTCTGTCGAGCATAAGCAGAATTGTTGCTATATAGTTCAGTAGTTGGAGATTTCGGTATTTGTTGATAAAACATAAATTCTGATGCTAACGATTAACTTACCGTAATATGCACGTTTGTTACAACATAATTTCAAATTGAAATGTCCGAGCCAAAGTGCTTTACGCTTGGCTTGTTTAATCACAACTAGCATTTATAGTACTTGTATGGATGGGCAGATACCATATTCCAACCTATGATGTAACTGAATATTACATTGTAAAAGCAGATTCTAGAATTGATTAAAGTTCATGCATGTTGCAAAACGACACGAGTCTCGCATGTTTAAAATAAATATATATAAAAATTATTGCCTGCAAAGTTTCCGAACTGAATTTAGCAACCTTCACGTGCATAGATCACCCAAATCTGAATATTTTTAGGGGTTGCATCAAACTTCGAAAATTCCCAAACCCCTACTCGGATTCTCAAACAATACAGATGTCTTCTCCTTCAGACGACGATGGTACTCTCGATCAGTCTACCAATAATATTTATGTCCATGTATGGATCCTGAAAGGCCGACGAATATGGCGCAGAAAGGTAATTCTGACATGGTATGTATCGGAGATCATATAAACACAACACGTGCTCTCTCTGATTTGTCATGATAACGACCCGTTAACCCAATTGCTTTACAGAAGACGTCATGATGGCCTCAACTCGCCGATCCTCTCCAACATAAAGTCGATGCAAATAGACATCTCGTATATCACAGTTTCTGTGCTATCGAAGATCACGAAGTTCCCGTATTTAATCGGTTTAATTTGAACATAAATGGAATCATCCCGTGTCGAAAACGGTGCCAGCTAGCTACATTTGATATTACCCATTCAACTTTTGCGGATACACAAAGTCGGATAATTGAGTGAAAAGAGACTTGGAGACGAGCATTGTAAATTACGGCTTGTCGATTCGACACAACCTAACCATATGGTATTAGCATTGAAACATGCTATTCAAAAACGGGTTTGCGGAATAAGCGTCGTGTAAATGATAAATAACAAATAGTTGTAGTTCCGTGAATGAACATTACTATTGACCGATATTGACATATCTTTAATAACAAGTAAGTTGGATTCGAACCAACATAAAACTGTTTCCCGCAACAATAGCACATTATTAATAGTTGATGGCGTGAGAATTCGATAATGCTATTTATATTATCGCTATAATCGTTATTAACCATCAATGTTCGTCTGGGTTTTTATAGTTGCTTGGCCAAATTTCCTTTGGAAGACATATATATAGTAAACTTAAAAGGGCAATTTGCCAAGAGGCGATAAACAAAATCTTACCAAATATTACCGTGCTAATCAATTCATATTCCGCATGCTAAACTTTGGTGAGTCATTCGAGTTAACCCGATATATCTAGTTGGTCGAATTATGTGATTTTTATTCTTGACACGGTTTTGTTGATCGTCCTCTTTTGGTTTTTGTGTTGATACATGTTTGGTCTGACAACTGTTGGATGGGTTTGCCCGCATATTTGCATAGGATTGATTCTCTCTTCTTTCAACGGTAATGTATATTACGTAGGTGACCGTGTCCATTTATCTGTAGAAGGTGGTGCGTTCTATTAGAAGTCTGTGAAAGTTGTGTAATGTAATGTCATGTGGACACCAAACAACACTGATCAACACCCTTAATTGTTCCATCTCTTCTTTGTTCTGTAATGAAGTTTAAGCATGTCCAAACCAAAACTCTCCCTTTCGACTTATAAGTGCAAACTTAACATTGACATGGGACTGATATAGTGCATCAACATTATGTACGGTCATCCTTTCTAAAACAATTGCAACACTGTTCGTGAGAATGCAGCTTGCGTCATATAACCTTTATATTTTGTTCTACTGTGGGGACAGCAAATAATTGAATCCTAAACATTACACAGACATAAAAGGTAAATTAATGTAGACAATCACAATATATTCCGTATTTTACGTACATATTATTAATATTTCTCTTTTTTAACTTTATTGTGCATGGTACACGAATATATTTTGTCTCGCTTAAACTATTTTCTTAGATCTTTAAAAAGGGTCAAATCCCCCTCGATGACTTTGTCCTTTGTCCTCTCGTTTGTCTATTCAGATCGTATATTGGAGACGGACATTTTTGGGGCTTCCCACCAGTAAAGAACCCAGCCTCACGCCACAAACAGGTCTCATTAACCCTCGCATCGCACAAATCAACCCAAAACGGTTTCATATTCCCCGCCCCCCGCACACCATACAAAAATTCCAACCTGGATAAGCGAACAGCTACACTCGTTTTTACACTCCCACCACCTACTTGTATTTATTCACGTACGCTCCCCTCTTCCCGCAAAATGTCTAAAACATTATTGCCCACACACTACCAAATCCCCCACTCTAATAAAAAACTACATGACCGTGTCTGGCGAACAAAGAAATTTCGCATTCTTTCGGCAACTCTCTTGATATTTCTTTGTTCGCTATGGGCGGTTGCAAGCTTCAGCGGCACGCATTTCAATTTCGACACATTGCGGCCGTATCGAAATAATGCTGCCGCAATGGCTGCTGTCAGCGCGCTTGGGGAAGGTGGCGAAGAAGGAATGCAGGCACTCGAAGTGCAGACACACGAATTCGTGTATGGGAAGGGACATCACTTTGGAATTTACGACATGTTCGTCGACGAGGAAGAAGATTACGATTACGAATGGGGATTCTGGGATTCTGGTCGTGGGAAGGCAAAGAGTGAGGACAAGAATCTGGACAAGGCCAGCGAAAGTGTCGAGAATAAGAAAGAGAGCGAGAATGACAAGGACAATGACGAGAATGACAAGGACAATGCCGAGAACGATAATGAAACGAAAGAAACAAGTATAGAGAACGAGATACAGGACATTATCGACAAACATAAAATTGTAATATTTAGCAAGACATACTGTTCGTAAGTAATTGTGTGTGGTAATGGGCTTCGGGAGGTGGGGAGTGTAAACTATAGAGGCAATTCGTCTGTCCGGATTGACAAGTACACCAATTAACTTGTTTCGTTATAATCAAACAGATACTCTCGAAGAGCCAAGCATGTACTATCTCAATATTTCATCTCACCCCGTCCTCACATAATGGAAGTTGATCTCGAAGGTGACTTGTCATTCACATCGCACGTTACGTCATCGCTGGCTTTCTGATCACTAATTTGTCCTGTGTAATACTCCTTGTAGATAAACCCAATGAAATAGCATCATTTCTCAAGAACGTCTCTTCTCGTAGTACATTTCCCAACATCTTTGTGTCTGGCCATTCGATTGGTGGCAGCGATGAATTGGCTGAGATGCATGCCGATGGAAGTCTAAAAGAACTTTTAAAGAAGGCAGGAGTACTCGTCGATGATGATAAGCCTGTTTCTGCGTAATTTTTAGAATGAGAAAAAGCTAGACATGATTACGGTTGTGTATTATTATTACACATTGATGAGAATCATATATGCCGACCGAACGAACGCTTGCCCGATGTAAATCAAAAGTTGGGGTCACAAAGTCTGATGACAATAGTTTATACGCTTTATGCCTGTTTATGAATTTAATCTTTTTGAAGATGTCTACTTCAATACTCTTGTAAAATAACAGTATTTAATTGAATTCAAAAAAAATCAAACGATGTACGTTTGTTTGTCAATAATTCTAAGATTTTCCAAACACCCCATCTTTCCGCCTTCCGCACCTGCCCCCTCCAACACTTCCTGCCTAACACATGTAATTTCTCATCTCCCTTTTTTACAAAGAATAAAAAGGAAAAAACAAACTTTTGATTAGTAATTTGAGAATATTCTTGATTTCTAAGCAGAAAAACGAGAGAGAGCAATATGACAAGTCCAAGTCTCGTGGTTTCACAATATGTAACATCGGAGTCACACGTTGGAGTTGCATAAATGCTTGGGGAAGGCGGGGTTGTGTGGAAGCTAAGATGTATATATGTATGCAAGTAAAGTGATCGAACAACCCCAAGCTGCATAATGGAAGGGATCATTGCAGTTTGATTGTCAAATGAAGTAGATCTCTTGTCATTGGATCGGGAGTGGGGGGTAAACCATAATTCAGCGGCAGATGATTCGTGCAAGCATGTCTTTCTTATTTTTAACGTTCGGTCTCGATCTCACTTCCCCGCCCCGATGAATAAGAGATGAACACAGGTTTAAGTTATCGTGATCAACCTAACGTTCGGATCGGTTAACTATAATTAATGATTCATGTAAGGTGTATATTTTAAGATGGGGGGTGTAATTTAATATATTGTTTGAGATGTCGTTCAATAGAAGGAACAATCCGAGCTTGAGTTTCCTTTTCACTTGTTTTTGCGCATTATTTTATTTCCGTATTTTCTCCCTTTTTTTTTTTTTTTTTTAATTTGCAGATTACAATCAAACACTATGTTTGATAATATGATCAATCATGCATATTTTTATCAAATATGTAACTAGATGAGACAAAAAAAGAGGCTGTATCGTATCGCCGTAGTTTGTTTTTTTTTTAAAATTATTGCTGCAAATGCATTACATCTGCCGATTTGCAGTTTCTTTTATCTATACCCTTCTCCTGACCAATTTTATCTAACTTCAAATACCGTACGATGTGTGGTTGTGTATTATATACAAACTGATCAGTTTCAGTAATTGGATCGAATAATCCGTTTATCCCGCCCGGCTGGATAATATAAGTCACATTGTGAGATCTATCACTGGTATTGGACTGGGATCTTTGTTGGAGTCATTAGCATTTTTGTTATCCGCACGAATTTTACGTTTGCGGTACGGAGATAATCCAAACGATGTCGGAGTGCCGATTATCGGGTACTCCCATTGCTTTGACGTATCATTTACTGCCGACACCACTCTGTCAGATGGCTCGGACGTGGTCGTTGGATATTTGACAATGGTTTTATGTTTTTGCGCTGTTGGATTCGTCGTATTCGCTGATGCTTGCGATGAAGACGATTGTTCTCCTAGTTTGAGATCTTGCAAATGTGTTTCCACTCTCACTGACGGTTCGTGTCGTCGCTGTTCCCCACACGTCGCTTCTTTACGTGACTACGTGTTGTAATGAGCATATTGTCAGAAACAAATGCAATCAAAACAATTCAGATGAGAAATGATCGATTTATTATTACCTTTTCGACTCCTGTAGATATTCCACTACCGGCATCATTTCCGACTATCGTCTGCGGTGATGTCTCACTCTGAATCCCACGGTCCATATTATTAACCCCCCCACATAACACAAACACTGTGTTAGGACTCCAAAAGTAGCCCTCTTTATTGAGAGGAGCGCAAGTAATTGCGTTTCTAGGCAAGCCCACGGCGGCGGCAGCCGCCGCGGCTTTGCTTTTCTGCCTGTATATTCGTTTAGTTTTAGGCGAATTACTTGGAGGAATATCCCCAGTCACGATTTGCTCATAACCACCCACCGTCATAGAATCATTATTATTCATTATGAGTGTGGCAGTCTCATCGCATTTATTTGCAATGAGATTGTCACACTCTTTCCACGACGACATGACGGCGGGTTGGTAATTGGATATAATCTGAAGATAATTTCATGATTTATATTAATATGTATTATAATTGTATATACATACAAGTAAAGACAAACGAGTTATGCGATTTCAATACCATGTCCTATATCCTGCGTCTCCTCTGTGAGCGAGAGACGGATGCGACTGAGGGGGGGGGGAGTTCCTGCTAGATAGATTAGGGTTAGGGTTAGGGTTAGGGTTAATATTTAGTGTTTTGTTTAGTAATGTGTTCAAGGTGGAAAACGAGAGCGAACAGATAATATACACCAGGCGTTATATGTAACATCTTATAAAACGTATTATGAAACATGTATTGCATGAAAAGACAGATTTATTGTGTGCAACTTTTAACAATGATTAAAACTGCAGCAGACCTTTGCTTATAGCGTAAGGTTTTGAAAACAAAATTTATTTAGACTCACCTCTGTAGATAAATAATTCTATGGTGATAATAAAAGAAGAAGATGGTTTTTTTAAAAGAGTGAAGAAGAAGAGAGCAAGTGTCGAACATCGGGTGGGATAGGGAGTTTTTTAATCCCCTAATAATCGGTTGCCATTGGTCGAATTTGATATGAATCACCAATGTTTATCTTTCTATAGAGATAAGATAATTAATAGTAATATCTTATACCCGGCCCGGAAAAAATGGGCTTAGCATAGATAAAAGCAATTTATTTGATGTATGCTAAAAAAAAGAGACTTTCATATGCAATCAGGCATCGTTCCTGTTTACATTATTTCAATTTCCTATATACTTACACGTTCGTCAATGGTAACTTTTTAACTATACTTTCTATTGCGAAGAGAACAAGGAATAAATAAAGACTTTCTTCAACAATTTAAAGAAAAAACTAGATTCTACGCATACCAAGAAACTTTGTCTTCAACTTGTCGAAATTATGCTCGAGATGTTAGATGGGTTTCTTAGAGATGGAAATGAGAGATAAAGAAAGTACAGATATAGTCTTTAGGATAGGCGATGCGATGGATGCGATAACTGCGATAATTGCGATAATTGCGATGGCCGTAATAATCTCTTACTTCATTATGATGCCAGCATTTTCAATCACGCACAGACAAGTTCTTTGTTATTAGAAATGCTATTAAAAAGTACAATAAGAAAACAAAGAAAGGAATGATGTTTTCGTTCAATGAATCGTTTAAATTTTACTTCCGGGAGTACGTAACACCGCGAAAATGCTGCACCTTCGAAAAGGGGAGAAAAGATCCGCTATCATCGTTTTTGCTGTTCATATACAGAAAGAAACTCCACTTTAAATTTACACAGTGATCTTATTTATTCTCATTGGCTGCGTGTCCATCAAATGTTTGGGCCCCGGCCGTAACTTTTTTCCCATCCGATGATGGACTTCAGAGCAGCAAATACCTCAATTGTTTCTGTCTCGCCCAAACTTGCATATTTTTGCGTCTACAACCCCTCCCTTGGGACTACTGAGGAGACGCAAGACAAGCAAGTTTTGTTTTATGCTGCACATGATGAAGTTCCAATCGATGTACAAGTTCGACAGACTGGTCTAGCTCAGGCACTTGTAAACTTTACAAAGTATACTTTCCATTATTGAAATAACAATATCCGTCTTTAGGAGCGATCGATACCGGTTATTTGCTATCCACCATGCTTATCTTACTTTCATCAAACCTGTAGAGTGTTTTCCCTCTCTAAACCATGTGAAAATGTACATACTCAGAAGAACAGGCTTGCGTTTCTGGAGCCCGAACCAGGGTATTGGATTCATATTGTAAAGTTTATTTACTGATGACATCGTTACGGTTCGCATGTCAATTATAAAATCGTTGTTGTTGACTGAAAATGGCGTTGGAATTAGTCTGTGCATTTAGGTTATCTCCAGAAAATGGTAAAAACCAAAGATGGCAAGATCAAACCGATTTTCGAGTATCTCGACGAGAATTTGCACGATTCGGAAATAAGAAAAATGCTCGAGCTCGGGTATGAGTTGTTTCGGGTATGTATGCGATTTCTGCGTCGAGGATAAAAACAAGCAAATCTTATATATTCGGATCCTTGATATCACCGCAAAAGTTGCTCCCATCTTGCTGATTCTATCTGATTTTGTCAACTTTAGTTATTCAATGGAACATTTAGCAGCATTGTGAAGAATTCAGGAATATCAGGCTTGAAGTCAAAACTGTCGGAATTCTACGGGACTTGGGTATTTGAATGGGATTGGGAAAAGACCGAATTAACCAAGATCATCGATGGTGATATTCTATTCCAGCTACTAATTTCCGTCTCTATTAAATTTTATGCTGTTTCTACTACTAAACTGTTTTTCTTTATTCAGGAATGTATTATCTTCCACTTCCTGGTTCACCGCATACTTGCGTCACGTCGCTCGTAACGGCATTAGAAAAAGATTACGACATGATCTCCAATACTTTTGTTTTATGGAATAATAAACTTGTATATGGAGGTACCAATTTGGCAATGAGCGATGCGAAGAATATCTATACCCATCTGATACGACTTTCAAAAGAAAGAGAGGCTGCAGAGAAGCAAATGGAGGAAGAAAAAAGAAAGAAAGCAAAGGAAAGCGATAAGGTTGATATTTACAGGATCCCCAATATCAGCATAAATAATTGCTATACAAGTAATACTCATCACTTGTTATAAAGCTTATTATTTCATCATGAGCAATATATTTTTCTACTCCAAGTCTTTCTCATACCTATTTCTAAAAAAAACAACAAAAACAAACAAACAATATACAGTTATACATACCAACGTTTAGAGGCCTAACACGAAATCTATCCGGAAGTAATCTATTCTCATATTTCACAACAGGATTCTCACAAAATACAAACACTGAGAACACAACTAAAGACGCCGCTTCATCAGATTCAACTACAGTATCTGCTCTTGCTGCGAATTTTCTGACCGGAGTACCCGTCGATTCCGAAGAAAATGGTACCAGCCCTCTAACTGTTCATCTTCATAAAGTCGGTTCGCAAGTCGGCAAGAACGTTGCGAAGGAGGAGAACGTTGAACATTATCTTGTTGCTTATAAGGTACATTATGATGGATCTTACTGTTATGCTTTCTCTTATTCGCTTTTGAGTTTCTGCAAGTCTCACCCGTCAGATTTGGTTTACTTTTTTGCACGTATAGCATGATTCGCTTATAGTCGGTTTTCTAATACCCAGTAGCAAACCGTCAATGTCCACTAACATCCGAAGCTTGGGTTTCTATCAAGCCCTCGATGATTATCTATCTACACATATCGAAGGCATAAGCAATCTTCTGAAAGAAGGCAATGATCATTCGAGGAAAACTGGGTATGTCAGAGGGTTAGTGGGTACATTTAATAACGTAAATTGTGGTTTCCCTCATGAAATTTGCAAAAGGCAAGTTCCCTGACGTGGGCTGGAAAATCATCTCCTCCATGTTTTAGAGCGGATGTAGATAAAGAATATCGATACTTGTTTTGTAACAAGTTAACCTTGGCCGTAAGATCGTCCATTTATTCGCCGGCTGGCAAAGGCCTTGCCATCAATACGGAGATGGCGCATGTTCTATGTAACCTGCACGAAGATATGGAAAAGTCCGTACAATGGCATCAAGATTTGTGTTAGAGTTATGGCTTTTTTGTATATTTAATATTGCCCATGTTTATTATTGGTATCTGGTGTATTTTTCGAAACAGGTATCAAAATTTAACAGAAATCTATACACGATCGTCGAATAACTTTTGGGTAGTTGGCAAGAGACACGATGGCCGCGAATTGTACGTAATAGTCGAGAAGAAAGATGCAAAGTTGGCAGAAGTTGAAGGTATAGGGAAAAAAACCAAAACGAATAGCCTTTTGAATGGTTAGAGTCGTCGTAACTCGTCTAATACATTGATACTATCGCTTTCGTAGAGGATGTAAGAAGACTAACAGCCTTGTATTTCTCTGGTATATTTATGGATTGACTCGTACAAGAATCGTACTGACTGGTTATTGATAAAATTAACATGCCCTATTAATGCTCGGCGGAGAAACATATTAGAATTCGATAATATATGCTATCCCTTTTAAGTATTTCAGTCAATAAGCCCCGCAAATTAAAAATCATTTCCGTTAAGGTTCTTGTTTGTGGTACAACTTTATTGAAACTGGGTGTCCTCGGCTTTGGATACGTTTAATTTAAATTCCTTGTGTAAATGGGAGTGGTTATTAATATCTTCATGGAACACAAAGTCATAGACCGCATTTCCCGTCGTCGTCTTTGATCAGAATGTTACAACGACACCCAGTATTCGTGCAACTCTTTCGGGTTCGAGCGTCACATGTGTACCACATGTATATTATCTGTAACTCACCAATCTTGCAAGCTTTGCCATTCACCTATCTTCTAAACTTCCTTTGCAGGTTCCCTTTCCTTTCTATTTTACATTCATTTTACTCATTGCCTTTAACAATAGGCAATAATCCCTTCAAACACACTCGAAAACCTGTCTTCCCTTTCGTACCACCAAGTCGCCCGTCCAAAATTTCGCCTTCATAAAGTGGGAAGAAGAGCTTACAATACATGCCGATATAAATGATAAATTAACATGTCTGTTCCGTCACAAACAAGATCATATTCCGCTAGCGATATCCGTAAAAATACAATACCAGATGAACATAGTATGGAAACTTTATTACAGCAGGCCATCAATGAGCGTAATTTTCTACGACAGCAAAACGATCAATTATGGAAGATAATTGAGAAGCAAAAGACCGTTATTAACAACCTTCAGAGGGATAACCAGAAACTCGTATATGAGAGAGATCGACGCCATTCCAAGCCCAATGCTCAAAACCGACCAGAATCTATTCAAGAAGATCCAAAGAGGATGAGTGAAGTTACTCTGGTTAATAACGAAATCGGCATGGTAACTGCCCAAGACAAAGGTATAGCCGAAAGTCCAACTACATACAATTCAAATTCAATCAATCAATTGAATTCTCCAACGGTTGCGTCGAATTCTGACCGGGGCCCGCAAGCTAGAGACGAGAATGTTCAGCAACATCCCGAACCGCAACAACCATTCCAACAACCATCACAGTTACCAACGGAAACGTCGGTAAAATTATCTGAACAAAGCCTCCTCGATAAGCAAGACAGTCCCAAATCTGAAAGCGAGCAGCAAGATAAGCCGCAATCTCAAAATGCCAGTGACCAAATGGATCCTGTTACGAGCTCATCACCAGTTTTGCCTCAAATCGACAATAGCCAAGATGATAAAACTGTCGCCGACACTCGTCAGCCTGAGGACATCAAAGACAATGAAGCAACCCGACAATTGTCCGATGATGTTGTTCAACGGGAATTAGAGACCGAACAAGAATCCACTTTGCAGATTAACTTGCAAGTGGATGTTTCTAACGGGAAACCAATACCTTCACCAGAATCACCAGTTATTATCGATTTCAGTAAAGATAAAGAAACAGAGCATAGAATGTCTAAACCTTTAAATGCTCGTCCATTAATAAAACAATTAGATACGTTAAAGAAGGACCGCAGACACAGCAGGGTACCACCACGTAAAGATTTAGAACGCGCAGATTCGCCTTCTGATAGTTTGCCACCAACTATAAAAGTATATAGCTTGCCTTCATCACCCAAGATTATGAACGTCATAGAAAACAAGCACATGTATGATCATTCACGAACAAGCAGCGTACCATTGGCCTCAACATATCCGCGGGAAAATGAAACTCAATTACCGAAAATCAACACCATAACAGTGGGATCTCGAGAATCAAAGTCTACTAGTCAAATATCAACCGTTGAAAGACCTCAACATGAAAAATCTGCTCATATGCTTGCACACGCCAACAGTGACTCCAACCTTACAGCACCAGTCCAGAAAACGATCAAAACGCACAAATCGGTTGATTCCATGTCGGAAACTCGATCTCGACAGCAACAGCGAATGTCGATGATGCCGCCCCGATCAGAATCAACCGGAACGATTAAGCCCGTAATGAGACATGGGCCAACGATAGCTGATGATAGAGTTTTGGACCCTAATGCTGGACGAACGTCATTGTCCGTTCCAACACCAACACCAAGACGGAATCGTAATAGTTTTGTTATGACTTCCAACGAATATAAAGTTCCAGATAATATAAACACAGAAATTCAAAATCCCCAGGCAATTAATCAAATGCCGCAGAAAAGCCTAAACATTAATACTCTTGTAGATTCCCATATACAGAACACACAACAGCCGGATAGACAATCATATTCTTCAAGATCATCTGTAATTCAGTCACAGCAGATCAACCAAACGATTACCAACGAACCCCTTCCCATGGCTATCCCGCAAATGCAAATTAATCAAAAGCCTGTTCTGCAAACAGCCTCTGAAACCTCAAATATGGATCTAGATGATCTCTCTGAAATTACCGTCAAAGTAGTCGGGAGTACCATTCGAACTAACGAGAAAGGCAAGGAAGTACTTATGTTCTTGGTCGCAATTGAGCGAGCAGCTACTGACGGAGAGTTATGGCGGGTCGCCAAGCTATATTCGGATTTCTTGGCGTTAGACTTGAAGGTGTGTACACTTTACATTTCTGTAAAAAATAAAGTAAAGCGGCTTGAGGAGTGAAACGTTCTGACTAGTTTATTTACAGTTGAAACAGCGACAAAAAGAAAACTTTGCAAGCAAGAACGCTAAACTACCCGATAAGAATCTTTTTTCAAACAATGCCCCCAGCAAAGTTGATCAGCGAAAGGTGTGGTAATCACATAACAAGTATTTTTTTTTTGTCTATGGATGATAATAAATATGCTTACCCCAATCATTTATTTTAGCTCGCGCTTGAGAAATATTTGCAACACGTGATTTCACTTAAATGGGATGATGATCAAGATCTACGTGAATTTCTCAAATCAAATGTAATCGAACAATATACGACCGAAAATCAGGTACAATAACCATTCACATAACATTTGGTTATTTAATATTCTATTCAAGCATCATCTTATTTTGATATTCTATTGCTAGCCTGGTTACAAGGAAGGTTACTTGACAAAACGGGGGAAAAGTTTTGGCAAATGGAAAACACGATACTTTGTTATCAAAAAACCACTTTTGGAATATTATGAATCGGTAAGGTTTGCGCAGCATTATCAGATCGATATCGACAAAACATCCAGCTTATTGACAAATTGTTTTACATTGAAATAAACAGAAAGATGGCAACCACCTTGGTTCAATCCGCTTGGCCAATGCCCAGATTGGTCGACAACAGAACAAAAATCTCACGGATCCAGAAGCACCAGGAAGCGAAAATGCGTATCGGCACGCATTCTTAATAATGGAACAGAAAGGCGGTTTAAAAGGACCTGTTAAGCATATTCTATGTGCTGAAAGTGACGCAGAGCGTGACGAATGGGTTGAGACCCTACTTCAGCATGTAGGAGTAGAGGAAGAAACTCAAGAACGCAAAAAGGACAAGTCCGGAAAGGAAGCAAAGAAGAAATTGAGCGTTGTCAAATTAAACGCTCAAATAATGGAATTTGCTATGCAACAAGCGCAAACGGAAATACATAATGAAAGGGCCCCTTATCAACGTCATGGAACGAGCGAATCGGTCACCTCTAACTTTAGTTCAGCATCTATTACTTATGATCAAACATCTCCGCTCTCGGCATCTCCACATTCAGCCTCTCCGCTCTCGACGTCTCCCAATACTCAAATACTTTCTTCAAATAACCTCCCAGCCAATTCTCAAAACGAAAATAACTTGCATCTCGGGCAATCTCTTCGTGATAGACCACGCAGTCACACACCTGAGAATAAGGATTCGCAGTTGCAAGAAAACTATAATCTACAAGCATATCAGTCATATACCCAAACTCTTAGAGAACCTAATATAAATCTTAATGCCGGATCGTTCCGTAAATCATTGGATGATCCTGACAAAAAGGACCGAAAGGGGGTTCGCATGACTTTCTTTGGAAAGAGTATGTTCGGCTACGGAAGTAAAGAGGAGAAAAAGAAGAGTATTTCAGCATATTCGGGGGCTCCTAAAATCGTGTTTGGGGTGTCTTTAGACCAGGCTATTGCTGTTGCAAGAATAAAAGAAGGGTATGAATTACCAGCGATTGTGTATAGATGTATAGGATATTTAGATGCTCAAAATGCTGCGTACGAGGAAGGAATTTACCGACTGAGCGGATCATCCAATACCATCAAATTGTTGAAGGAGCGATTTAATGCTGAAGGTGATATCGATTTATTGGCCGAGGGGAATCAATATGATGTACATGTTATTTCTGGTCTACTTAAAATGTATTTGCGAGAGCTACCTACTCCTGTACTGACTCGGGAATTGCATCCTGAGTTTGTTCGTGTCGTTGGTAAATAGTTTTAACCTTTTTGTTATCTAAGACCTTATGTTTTTTTAACGAGTTAACCGTTGACGATGGGTTTTATCGTTTTTAGATCTTCTTGATCGCCGAGAACGAATCAACGAACTTGGTAGGCTCGTATCAGCTCTCCCAATTCCAAACTATACTCTGCTACGCACATTAATTGCCCATCTCATTCACGTTGTACAAAACTCGGATATCAACAAGATGACGGCACGAAATATCGGAATTGTCTTCTCACCTACTTTGGGCATACCCGCTGGAGTATTTAATCTCTTTATGGCAGAATTCGACTATATATTCTTTACAACTTCTGATGGGTTAGCGGCACCACGAACTATCGAGCAAGAGCCGGCTGCCGTCGAGTCAGATCGACTAGACGCACCCCATCAGCCACTCGATGAGAGCGCGAATTCTACTAATGAACCATTATTACCGACACCACGTTACAAAGACATCCGCGAAGAACTAGGCGGTAGAAGTAACCGCAACAGCGTACACTATATGGACAACGTACCTGAAGCATTAGTTGGACTGGAAAAGAAAATTACAGAGAAAGTTATTGCAACAGTTGTTGGTGATGACGAGGTAAACGACCTCGATCTTGTGGCAGAGGAAGAGGAGGATATGTACCAAGACTCGGTTGACGAGGTTTCTGCACCCCAACTACTTGCGCAATTTCCAACACCGCCAATTCAAGACACACGATCTGCTCCACAGTCTCCACTAACAACTTCTCAACATCCGCTTCTCCCGCGATCCAATTCTGTACCTGTAAGCTCGCACGCAGGGCCATCACATATGCCACCACAACAAACTCCTTCACCTAACGACGAATTCATTGCATCACAAGATGATATGGTGGGAGACATGGTAACGGGAAAGAAACGGAGACTAACTGTAAGGAATTATACATCACAAGACTCAATGTTTGAAGTATATGAACAACACAGACAGGTAGCAGAAGAATTTGCAGTTCTTGCCGAAATCGGAAAGAATAATGTAGTTGCTGGTGGTCAGTAGGAATCCTCGCCGAGTGGAGGAAATGGTTATTATTGTCGTATAGTATTCTGTATTGTATATCTAGTTATTCTACCTTTTTTTATCAATCCTGTTTTACTATATAATACCGTTCATTTGTCGATTACATGGGTTAATATTTTAGAGAAAACGCCATAGGGCGGTTGTAAAAATAGCTTATTAATATAAGATAATTTCATCAATGGTTGCTTAATAAAGTGCGTGTAAATTTCATTAGTCCTATAATTTATCGTTGTTCCATGCACGTCATACATATATGTGCAGATCTCACGTTACAAAAATGTTCATACATTTTCGTCGTTATCATGTTGATAAAAACTCTTCCACGTTCAAGTATTCGACATGTCGACTAACCCAACAGTAACACTGTAAGTATGTTCAATGCATTAAGCTTGTCTTTTATGGTGAACATTCTTTTACAATAAAATAACTTGGCTTACGAGAAAAGAACCACTGGCTTCAAAGATATCCTCTAAGTAGGTCACAATTCATTTAGGCTCTCTGGGGGTGTGCTGACTCCTGTAGTGATGAATTAGTTTATGATCAGCTTTTTTAATAGCTCGATTTACTTTGCTATCATCAACTTTTACCCCTCAGTAAATTATACATTCGGTACAAAAGAAGCACAGCCCGAAGAAGATCCAAGCGTAGCAGCACGCTTGCAGAGGCTTCAAAACGATTATGAAACAAGCGGAATGCGTAGGACTGTGGAGGGAGTCCTGGTCGTGCATGAACATAATCATCCGCATGTTTTAATGCTGCAGATTGCGAATAGTTTCTTCAAATTGTAAGGAATTAATGGAGTGGGTTTCAAAAAAACAGTGAACGATTGTTAAACGGAGGAAGATGGGAAGTAAAAAGAAACATCGGTGATGCTAGTGTTTAGACAACTCTATATAGCCTTTGATCAATTATTTACAACAACAAATATTTATCAAGTGCGAATTATTTATTTATCCTTTCGTAATTATTCTCACGCTAACTTAATGATTTCTGTTTGCTTAGGCCTGGTGATTATCTTCGACCAGGTGAAGATGAAATTGAAGGCCTTAAAGCAAGACTAGACGAACGGCTTGCTCCCGTTGACAAAGACAAGGCGTCCTCTAATGATCATAATTCAGACTGGGAAATCGGGGAATGCTTAGCCGTCTGGTGGAGACCTAATTTCGAGACGTTTATGGTAAGTATGTTGTAACTTGTTCACATGCGAACGCTATAAAGAATAACTCTTGTCTGATTAAGGTGAATCTGGCACAATTTCATATATATAACCTGTATTCTCATTTGCAACATAGTATCCGTATATTCCAGCACACGTGACAAAACCAAAAGAGCAAAAGAAAATCTTCTTGGTGAATTTACCTGAGAAGAGTAAGTGTCTGTTGAATCGATATTTAAATACAACTATTGTTTGCTTACGTTTCCATTTGACACCTTTGTCTAAAAAAGAGGTTCTTTCGGTCCCGAAAAATATGAAGTTGCTCGCAGTTCCTCTTTTTGAATTATACGATAATGCACAGAGATACGGGCCACAACTCTCAGCCATACCACATTTACTGAGTCGGTTTAATTTTATTTACGAAAAATAACGATAAATCGATAGAATGCGAGGAAATCACGAAAGATAAAATAGACGAAAGATAGAATATTCATCGAACTGTGAGAGGGAAAACCTGGATGAAAGATGAAATTGGCTGAACTTTTAGGAATCCCGTCAAAAAAAAATAAACTACATAATAAGACAGAAAGCTATATAGTCTTCCGAAAGATTTGCGAATCCAAACTATAGAAAACTGACTTCAACAACTTGCTTATTGGTACCGCGATTGTATCTCCTTGTCAGATAGCTTTTTGTTAAAATCGCGCAAGTTTTTCGATGGTTTCACCAATAAATCTGTTCAAACAATTAGTAAAAGAAGTCTTGTCGAAAGTGTAATGGTCGCGTTTACGTCAAGTTTTAGAGCTAAGCTACAGCTACGTTCATTGAATCATAGTTCGCCCGCCTAATCACTTTCATTCGCCGCGAGGCCCACCGCAGTCGGCAATTTTAATGCACAGAATTATAAGTGCAACGAGACTGATTTGATGTTGTTACTCTTGAACAATGTCACGTCTGGCAATTGATAATTTGATTCAATCCTCCTCAGATGATGATGGCTATGATCTTGAATGGATCTCTTATTCCGAATTTACTAACATACGGTTATGCCAAAACTCCATTAACCGAACTATCTACTACGCCGCTCGCCGCCATCAAACCTATCGCTATGGTAACAATGTCATGCTATTACTTCTCGGAAACGCTAAAAAATGCACGTCAGAATTTATAAGTGCTTTAGCCAAAAAGTACTCACTTCCAACGCACAAATGTGTTGAGTCACTTCATCAGTCCAAAAAACATCAAAGATGGCTTGAATATCGCCCGCTCATACTTGGATTTACCGAACATGAAGACAACTATTATCTAGTTGCTTCTAAAGGCCTCTACCATTTTTATTCTCGATACGGGTTCTGCTCTGCATGTGGAATACTGCGAAGTAGTCCCGTGTGGTGTAGTTGCGGGCATAAAGAATTATCCGATACGTGGAGCAGCAACAATGAGAAACTCGATGAATTTATTAGAGAATCTCAAATTCAAACAAGCTCAATACGTGAAGCCTATTTAGAATGGATTCCATTTAATTGCATTAAAATTAATAATAACAGTGTAAACTTAAAGGGTCTACCTGCTATTGCTGACGTAAAATTGATCCCACTTGAGATAACTGATGAGACAGATGATTCATATTATGACAAGGTAAACGACTCAAGTATACATTATGTTATGTTCATTGGTGTCTATCTACTTAAAACAGTGCTTAATTTCTATAGCTGTGTGATCAGCATCCAGATATTTTTATCACAAATGTTTGGATCACTATTGGATTTACATACAAATCAGAAGAACAGAAATATTATCTGATTAAAGAACTGTCAGAAGATGGATTGTGTCTGGCATGCGTGGAACGATTGGACTCTCGCAGACCCGCATTCTGTTTCCGATGTAAAGCACCAAGACCTCTTGATTGGACTACTGCCAATAATTCTCTGGATTCATTTATAATGAAATCATGGAATAATACGACGAGTAGATGTGATGCATATCTGCAATGGATAGAGTATTCTCGATTGACAAATTTACGAGAAGCGACCTTGTTGCACCATGAATGCACACATATAGCGGATTGGTTAGAACCAGCAACAAATATGCTGATTCAAGTGATACTTAAGACAGTTGTTGATGGAAACCATGGTCAATCGTTTGACTTTTATAAGGTAAATTATTTTCATTTATGACGATACAAATAATAATACTGTTTCTATGTGTTCAATCACAATTGTTGTAATGATCATATTGTTTATTCAAAGCAGCTGACCAAGCATTATCCGGAGATATTAACACCAGATAATATATGGGTTATTGGAATTACTCAAAAACCATCTACTAGAGACTATTGTTTGGTGTTCTACAGCGGGATACGTCCAATATTGAGCAAGGTTATGCAAATTTGCACAACCATAAAATATATAGAATATACGGATTTTAGCAATATCAAAGGAATTGGTTCCGGTAGATATGGAACAGTTTATTCTGCTAAACTTAGAAACAGATATTATGCCGATGAACAAAAACGCGTCGTTCTCAAATGCTTTAAGAATTTCGATCAGATGTCGAAATTATTTATTTCCGAAGTAAGCAATTTCGTTACAATTAACGTTAGTTTTTAAAATTGTACTAATTTATGTTGTAATAGCTCAGAAATTATGTCAAGTGTAGCTGTGGTATATTACTTCGAGTTTATGGATTTACACAACAACCAGAGACAGAAGAGTACTTGCTTGTAACGGACTATGCCAAGAACGGCAACCTTTTGTCTTTTTTGAATCGAAATATTAACGAGATGAAATGGTGCAACAAATTAGAGTTTCTGATAGATATTGCAGATTGTCTGTATAATATTCATATCAGTGGGCTGGTATATGGGGAACTGCATGGTGGAAAAATATTGTTTACCACCCCGGAATATGAAGATTCGATTAAAGCGTTCATATACGACTTTGGTTTCGCGCAATCAACGGCGTCTGAGACAAAATCAACCATTCATGGTATTACACCTTTTATCGCACCAGAAGTCTTCAGCACTCGAAAATTTACTACAGAGTCGGACATATATGCATTTGGCATTATCATGTACATGATAGCCAACGGTGAACCACCTTTCGGAAATAGATCATTTGATGGGGACTTTGTATGCGATGTTCTGGGTGGACTACGACCTACGATGCCTGATTCTGCGCCAGAGGCGTACAGGAAAATTGCAGAACGTTGTTGCGATGCCGATCCTAAGAAGCGTCTAGCGTGCAGGGAACTTTATTCACTTATGAAGGATCTTTTCGAAGCTATACACAACTACGATCCTCAGAACGATATATGGCATGAAATCTATTTTACTAATGTATAATCCAGCACCACGGGAGTACTGAGATTGTTCTTCATTCACTGATCTCTAACCTCATCCCTAGAACGAAAAATTAGAATGTATGGAATGGCATCTATTATACTTATGTAGAGCCTTTATCACGTTTCGAAAAGAGTAATACTCTGGCACAGTTTTACCTACAGGATTTTTTGGCTGAACGAATAAACAGGTATGAATATGTGATTTTTTTCTATCAGTTCAGTGGCTCAAAATCTGGATAACGCACACGGGATACCAATTGTTTCAATAAACACTCATTCGTTTATTAGTATGCAAGATGACTTTTTTAATAGAGTATAAATTCTAGATAGTATGGTTGGATTTAAGTGGCTCTTATAACATTATATCAATTGGTAACGTTTGTTCAAAACTTACGCGCTCTATTTTGATGTGTCTCATGCATAATGTTGTCCCCTGATCAATATTAACAATTATTGATAGCAAAAAATTCGCTTTTGTTGGGGAACAATTTAGTTTTAACATTTTCTCGGCGCATATCGCCAATCTTTAAGTCTTGCGCTATACCTTATATTAACAGCGTTTACTTGCAAACAATGTGACAGGATATTGCGCAAGTTAAATAGTATTGTAGTAGTCTTGTTTATCAATAATTGAAAGCTTCATTCAATCTTTTACCTATTTACGCGTAAATGCCTCTAGATTGGCACTCGATGTAAGCGCTTTTATATTTTAACTTATTTGTTTGAGATTCTAGGCGGAGTGGTACGGCATTTCCGAGTTACTTTTGGTCTCTGCGCACGTTCTATGTATTGGGCCGTTTCCGCTAGATATTATTCGTGTAACCCTATCGCGGAAGAGAATTCAGTGCGACATCAATTTGACGTGTTAATATAATTATAACATTGAATTAGCAAATTACGGGTTACTCCTGATATTGCATTCTAAAATTTTCTACCAATGAGTAAGGCCCAGCCATGCGGCGTTTTATAATACACTACACAAATTTTGTCCTTTTATATTTATAGTGCAAATAAACAATGAGTGGATAGATTTAATTACAAGTCCCGACCGTTTAATAGATAAAGCGCCCTTCTATCTCCAATAGAGATTAATTATCGGAGTGTTGCGAAACTTATAGTTATAGTACTGTCTTGGTACACATACCAAATAAAATAAGTACTTGTTACAAATCCAATGACAATTGGGCTTTCCCAATATTGGTGGGTAATAGTAAACATTCAATGTGAATGAAAAAAACCAAACAAGCTTGTCATTATTGTTAACTCTGAATAAGATATGCTATTAACCGCTAGTCTTTTTAGTTGACAAATTAAGACCAGTGTGATAACTTATCATGTAATTGCTTTTTTTCCATCGTTATTACAGACTTATCAATAGAAATTGCCATCGTCCTTGAAGCTTCGTCAATTCTTTCAGATATTTGCTTGAATGTACTCTAATCAGAATTACTAACATAGCATGTATTTTTGCTAATTGATGCATTGAGTGTATCTGCATGTTATTTCATTAATACCAATTATATAAAATAAAGTAATTCAAAAGAATTGAGCCATTAGATATTAAATACTAACTGGTATACTTAAATTTGGACGTACTGTATACACAGTCACTCGGACTGGACTAAAACAGTCATATTTATCGAGAGTTTATTATAACGAAAATCTTTTTTATAACAAAGTTTAGATTTATTTAATTGGTTTAATTTATTGTTATCCCCAATTATAGTGATGATTTACACATTTTGTTAAATCGAGATCGGTTTCCTAGCACAAAAACATCATTATATGTTATAATACTGTATCCTCACTATATCAAGCCTAATTTTATTATAAACCAAATTTTTCGAAGAATGTGATATATTTTTGTCCAGAAAACCTGTTGTGGCAAAGAGTACCGTTGATGGAGATTTTCGTGGAGTCTGTACTGGCAGTGCTCTGCTCCATTTCATCGAGCATTCGACAAATGTTTTCCAGGATATGATACTGAGTTTGGTAAATTGCTGCAGGGAGACCACAGGCTTTTGGAGTGGACGTGACTCCAATAATCGGACATATTCATCAGGGTAGAGAAAGCTTGGGCATTGGTAG